CTAGGATTGTGAAAAGTTGGTAGCTCAATCTAGATTTGGTTATCAGTGATTCTTAATATTTTTAAATGGCATTTTGAAGTAAGCTTTTCTAAATGAATACATATCAAAAATTCACTAGGATTAAATATTTTTGGAAAGTACTTTGAAAGCCTCTAGGGGAGAGCAAAAATAAGACAAGACAAGAACTTTTAGATTGTTGAAAAAAGTTGAGAAAAACATGGCTTTTATTTTTGCAGTAAAAGAAGGCAATGGGTACAGTTGACCAAGGAATCCATCCAAATATTATTCAAATATTTAAATAGGCAGGTAAATTAAATGTTTCACAATAATTTCAATATTTTAAATATCTCATGCATTCACATTGGATGAGTCATTGACTTTAGTGGATCAAATACTAGGCAGAAAAAAATACATTGACATAGGCTCTAGTAAGAAAAAGTTGGGGATGATGGGGTTAAAAAATCTTGTTCCCTAACCTTGCTAATTCTTGACAGAATCCCTGTTCATACTCTCCAAATCAGCAAGTTCCAAAACCCTGGCATTATTGCATATCTGTTACTAACAACTATAAAAAGTAAGGAAATCATTAGAGCCTTTAACTAACCCTTACAACCTACAGTTTGTGATTTCATCCTTCTAACATTATTCACCCACATTTACCACCTACTGCACACATGTCTTCTATCTTCATATGCTTTCTCTCTGAGTTCAGGAACTGGGATTCTTTCCCAGTTCCTTTGTTGTCCCCACCCACCTGTGCTACAGCATAGAAGAGTAGCAGTTCAGGATCTACTGTATGTGTGTGCGTGTATGCATCGTCTTGTGCATGCCCACCAGTGCCTTTGTTCACAACTCACCAGTTTTCTAGATGTTAGTGTTATGTTGGAGGTCCAGAAATGGTGATATCATGGTGCAAATATTAATCATGTTTGTGTCCTGTGCTTCAGATTTTTTTTACCATTTTCTATAACCCATCAGTGTACATAAAGTTTGTTTTGTCTCTGATCTCTTATGAAACAATGCTAGATACATCCTTGCTTTCAATGCTATATTGAACTGCTTGTGAAAAATCAGTTGCCCTATTGTTCCCCATGCAGCTTATTCTACATTTCTTCAGTATGTGTTCAGTCCATTGTGCCGAACAAAGCCACCTAGTTAATATGTCAAGTTGATAATTATGGAGAATTGAAGTCTGTGATGGAGTTTAACATGACTTTTCAAGAGGAATTATGTTTTACTGATTTTTTTTTAATCTCAGACTGCTAGTTCTAATATAAGGGGAAATAAATTTGTATAAACATGTTTTTTCTGATGCTTTCGATATTGTGATCATGTTGATAAATTTGTTGAAGAAAACAAGACAACATTTCAATGAGGGAATGTGTATAAATATTTGATACATGCATATTTTCTAAAGTAGTAAGGAATTCATTTGCTTTCTGAAACATTAGCAATTCAGATTGGGAGATTAATCCTGTCAATGGACTGTGAAGCTTCTCTTAGAGAGCTCAGTATATACCTCCTAAATCAAAACCATGATAATTTTCTAATAATTAATTAAGACACTGCAGTATGAACTGATAGTTATAAGATATAATGGACTGAGTTCTGTACACATTTTTGTCTGTTTAGGAAATTATGTTTTTTAGGAAATGATATTTTAGAAAATCTGATTTGATAATTTCTTAACACAAAGGGATATATTAATACAGCTTTTAGCATCTTCAGTTTTCTAATATCACAACCTCAGCATACATGGTAAATAGCATACAGTATTCTGTCTTAAATTTCAACTTTTTGCTACTTTTATAGATAATGATGGAAGTGAAAAATTCCAACTCTTTGGGCAATTTCACTCTGCAGTCTAAGCTGCTTTTCTCCTGTTCTACCCCAAGCTGTTCCTGAAATCAGCTAATATTCCAGTCGAAATGACAGTGATTTGGCAACAGGGCCTGATTGGTGCTCTATCTGGACCTGACTGATCATACCTGCAGGACCTGAGTGATCATTCCCTTGCTTTTTGCAAGGAAGGCAAGGATCATTGGTTGGCTTCTGTGTACATGGGTTTATTGGTATCTGCCCCCATTCTTTTCCTTTGCCTTTCTACTTGTTTGTGCATATAGAAATCTTCAGTCCTTTTCCCATGTTCTCTAATGCAGACCATTCCCCCCCCTTCTTATTATACAGTAGTTGCTCTCATGCTTTCTGTAGGGGAAATGTTCATACCTAACCAAATAAAGTTGGCAAATTGATCAAGCCACAGATGAAATATCTTACAAAATAAATATTGAAAGACAATAACATTTCACAAATGGTTTCCTTTTTATGCAACTTGATGTTCTGCTTCTTAGTGACATCATTATTTGTACAATTCAATCTCTACCTCATGAAACATGAAGAGAAATTTGATTCCATGTGCGGAATAGGTCAGTATGCCTGATGGTCCAATCATGTACACACAAAATCCAATAACTTTTGGCTAGGTCTCAGAGGTAAGTGTAAAAATTTATACTGAGAAATTGATTTGAGCTTGAGTTGTTCAATGACTAGAGCAGTGGTTCTCAACCTTTTTAATGCCGCGACCCCCAACTGGTCATAAGTCGAGGACTACCCAACTGGTTGTAAGTCGAGGACTGCCCAACCGGTCATAAGTCAAGGACTTTCCCTGCCCGGGAGCGCCACGCATGCATGGTGCTGTCCCCTGTGCCGGCCGAGGCATAGCTGGCAAGCGGCAGAGACGGCGCAGGCCGACCACCGGCTGGGCCACCAGCTGGCCCAGCCAAGGGAGGTAAGGTACCCACCGGGCCCCACACGCACCAGCAACCCTCCCTGTGCTCGCCGGCCTCCCACCTCCCACCCCTGGCCCTCTTTTATTTACATTTTTAGTAGTTGCTCAGCAGGGAGGGGTGGAAACTTCCAGACAGCTCGCCTTCGCTGCAGACAACTTGCAGCACCGTTTGCAGAATGGGAATTTTGGACGGCTCAGCAGGGCAGAGACAGCCTGGACAATTCCTATTGGCTTTTGAAAGCCAATAGAATTAGACTCTATTCAAGAGAGTCTATTCTATTGGCTTTCAAAAGCCAATAGAATAAAAGAGAGTAGCACAGCTAAGGAAAAGGGGAAGAAATGGCGGACTGCATTGTTTGGCGACCCCCGTGAAATGGTCGTTCGACCCCAAATGGGGTCGCGACCCACAGGTTGAGAACTGCTGGACTAGAGCAAGGTTTGCTTTAGTTTTGTTCAAGGAAATGTTTTTTTTCAAATGGGAAAGCTAAACTTACAAAATCTCTGGTCACTCAATGGCTGGTCATAATCCAAGAACTACCTGTCTATGTATAAGTATGATGGCCCTTCTTGAGACAACATTTTGTTGGACTATTTTTTACATATGTATTTTCATTTTCATATTCTATGCATCACACTTTCAGAAATTAATTCAAAAGTGCACTGATATTATGAACTATTAATTGCTCAATTGTACATGTTTACCTAGAAGTAGTTCTATTGAATTTAGTTGAATTTATTTCTGAGTAAACACCTCTAAAATAATTTTAAATTATTAAAAATAATCAAGATTTGCAATTCAAGTGTTTTAATATTTATCTTCCCTTTCATTTTTATTTGTCAATAATGTTATTAAACATTGAATTATGCAATTTATTCTATTCTATTTGTTACCAATAGAAGAGAATGTATGTAAATCAGGGTTGAACTGTGGAGGCCTTGATCTGTTTGAGCTTGGTCATTTACTTGCAGATGTTTTATTATCTGATTCATAGTTGAGTAGAGAGTACCAAGTGGGGTAGAAAGCACCGAGGATTCTGTAACTTTATTTGCTATAATATGCTTATTTGTTATTTATTTAGTACGTTTTACGATGTGCTAGAAAATAAACTATTTATTTTATTTATTTGTTACATTTTTATCCCAATGTCAAACTATATTGTAATTGCTGTATCTGTTACAAGATAGAAGACATTACCCCTAGTATATGTAACTTTTGCATGCCTGCTGTAGTCTATTATATTAAATTTCTTATAGTGAAATAAATATATATTTATTTTAAAAATGATGGTAAAGAAAGATTGTCTATGAAAGATATCTAAATCAAATAGTTATTAATTAGTTGCCCTGAGCCACCTCAGACTGTGAGATGCTAGCATATAAATGAAATAGATAGATAGATAGATAGATAGATAGATAGATAGATAGATAGATAGATAGATTTGCAGAATGAAATACTTCTTCATGTAATATAGTACTTTCTTAAGAATGGTTAGAATTCTGAGAATAAACAATTGAATTGCAAATTAAAATAAATTTAATTTGCTGATAACCTGAAATAAATACATAAATATGAAAAACATTCCTATGCATTGCTAAAATCAACTTACATGGATGAATTTGGTTAAATGATGAGCACATTTAAGCTTGCTTAAGCACATTTATTCTTGATGATTCTGCATGTTATAGGATATAAGGGTGATATCTGTTACTCCATTCATTGCTAAGGGAAGTTCAGCTGATCTAGTTGGTTAGGCAGGCAGTCTTTTCCTCCCTCAACACTCTACTTCCTTTTTGAAGTTGCAACCTTAGTGGAAGAGAACAACCATCACTGACAGAAGGAGTGTACCAATCTTTGGTCATACTCATTATAGTGAAAAGAATTAAATAACAAAGATGCATTTACATAAATATCATAGTTAATGGTATTTTAGGCAGGATCTTAGCATGAATTAGTGAGGAAAACATAATGTCAGCAGGGCCTTTTCATGACATAGGTAAGATCTAAATTTAAAAGAACTTTTGATTTTAAAAATATTCTTTGTATTCTCCCAATTTTTCCTTCCTTCGCCCTCACTTCAACTTTTACTTGATTCCCTGAACTATTCAATGTTTTGTTTTAATTATCTAGCTTGTAACCAAGAGTCTTACTATTTTCCTTAGTGGGCACACTATTCATCTTAATATTCACTATATTTTCTTCTTTCTTTTTTAGATACCTGATTAATGTCACCTTTGAAGGAAGGAATTTATCGTTCAGTGAAGATGGCTATCAGATGCATCCTAAACTGGTTATCATACTTCTGACCAAGTCAAGAACATGGGATAGAGTAAGATATATTTGTTACTTTTTGAACTGGAATTGGGGCAAAGATGTTTTTCCTTGGTCTTATTACCAGCATACTCACCATCTCAGAGATTCCTTTGGGACACTTGGTTACTGGTTCAGGTTGCAAATTTCTGATCACATTTTATTCATCGGTTTAGTTGTTTAAAAGCTTATACTTTTTAATTCACAGAGTAGATTTCAACAGAACAATCAGTATAGGAAAATAGCACATTTTCTTGTATTACAAGATTTCTGATAGAAGAAAGTAAGTAAGTAAAATAACATGACCAACATGAATGGGTGGAATTTAGAAAAATAGACATTTTGTGACGGGGGAGGTTCTGTATTGTTAATCTAAAACCATCATAAAATTTTTGTATGTGAAATCTTTTCCACAATGCTAGAAATTTAAAAGTTGTAGTTATAGGAAGAAAACCCATATAACAGCTGAAATGCAATTTTTCCTTCCTAGTCTGACAAAACTTCACTGAGTGTTGCCAATCCAATGAATAAATAGTTTGTAAAGTTAACTACTGGTGAAATAAACACTGACAGGAAGAAGATGCTTGGGTGAGCAATGTGAAATTAGTTCTGTCTAAAGATTCATAAAGTTTAGACTAGTGGTTATCCATTGCAAAGAAGCTGCAGTCCATGCATGCCCCAATGAGCCCAAATGAAGACAATCAGACTTACAATCAGTACACATGAGTAGAACTGCAATGCAAGCTCTAGTCAGATTTTGAACTGTATATAAGAGCAATATTTCATATGGATACTGTATATTGAACGTCCTAATGGGAAGTTCATAAATCATTAGCAATGTCACAACGTAATCCCAGTAATGGGACTGAAGCAATAAATATAAAGTTTCTTATTCTTGGGAAACTGGTATGCTAAATAAGATGCCAGAACTTGTTAGTTGCCCATATCATAAATATCTGTCCCTTCCACATCTAAAGACATCCCTTTATTTAAACCAAAATCAAGTCTTCCTGTAATGATTTAGCTGCATCTAAGAACATCACATATTCACACATACACATTAAAACTATAATATATAGTTCTTTTTCTCAATATTTTGCTACGTCTTTTAGGAACTGAAATTTTGGGAGGTGCAGAAACAAATAGCATTCAATTTTTCTGAAGCAGAAATAATTTTTCTCAGCCTTTCTACACAATAAAAATGTATAGATTGAATAGTAATTATATTTGGAATTAAATGTATTATAAATTGTCATAAAGCTGATATTAGCAATATTAATATCAATAACACTTAGACTTATATCTCTCTCCATAATGCTTTACAGCACACTCTGAGCAGTTTTTCAAAGTCAGAAATATTGTCCCAACAATCTGGGTATTTATTTTACCAATCTTGGGAGGATGAAAGGCTGAGTCAACCTCGAGCCCAACAGGATCAAACTTCAGACTGTGGGCAGTGTTAGCCTGCAATACTGCACTCTAATCACTGTGCCACCAGGGCTCCAATATTATATTATCTTCCTACCCCATCTTTGAAAGCCATTGCACATTAAAAGTCATTAGATGCTGCTAATACTACAACTTTATTTACATAAATAAGCATGGTGGATTTCAACTATGTGCTTGCCATGAAATCTGGTTCAGAACACAATATATCCTTCAAAATAATTTGCCTTGACTCAGGTCACATCAGAATTCTCCTTATTTAATTTTACAACTGATTCAGGATGAGATGTGTGCTTGCCATGGACTATAGATAGTCCTTGTTTCACGACTTGCAGATCTGTAAAACAAAGGAAAGCTAAAGTAAGATTATAAGCACAATTGTGATTTTCCTTAGTGGCTGATTTGGAAGGTCCAGTTGTGGTTGCTAAATGAGGATTGCCTGTATATCTTGATGAAAATTCATATTACTACAATTATCCTTGCTTTCAATAAAATAGAGTGAAATTTTTTGGAATTGCTATAAAAATGAGGTCTGCGAGGTTCAAAAAAATGGGTGCACAGGTTTTGGATAGAGATTATTTTAAATTCTAAATGCAGTTATATTTAGAACTTAGTGAAAAGTACCAGTACGTTCCTTATCTCAAAATAGAATTAGATGATATTTGCATTTCAGATAATTAAGATATTTTGTACAGAGATAATATTTATAAATAGAGTAGTTAAAGAAAATGAAAAGCTCCTTAGACTCAATAATGAATTGCTGGAAAAAATTTAGGATTCCTATTTCTATACCCAACACTGTCCAAAAAATGATGAGATTACCATATGTGGAACTGATTATTTGGCAAAGAGAATTATTTACAGTTGAGTTTAGGAGGAGAAAAAAATAGATTCCTTTAATAAACTATTCTGAAAAGAAATGATGGAATTGATCTAGGACAATGGGGGAGAACCTATGGCATGGGCGCCAGAGGCGGCACTTGGAGCCCTCTCTGTGGGCACACGTGCCATTGCCCCAACCTTGCCTCCCCCTGCGACTCCCTCACCAGCAGCCCCCCTGGAGGAGAGTCACCCCTGAGCGTGGCCCACGTGGAGCAGTGCAGCCAAGGACATGGCAGCCAGGCAGCATAGACAAGACTCTGCCCTCATGCCCCATCATGCACAGTTGATGCTGTGGGGCGCAGGCAGAGGGCAGAGCACCATGGTGCTCCTGAGCGATCTGTGGCAGGCCCTGGAGGTGGTGAGTGGCCCTGCGGACAGGCGGGGTGGGGGCGGAGCAGGGGCGGGGCCAGTTTTTGGCACTCGGTCTCTAAAAGGTTTGCTATCACTGATCTAGGACCTGGGAAAAAAACCTCTAAGTTTATATTAAGTCATCCCTGGAAACTCATTGAGTGATTTTAGCCTAGTTGTTATCTCTTAGCCCAGGGGTAGACAACCTTGGCTCTTTTATGACTTGTGGACTTCAGTTCGCAGAATTCCTGAATTCTGGGAATTGAAGTCCACGAGTCATAAAAGAATCAAGGTTGCCTACCCCTGTCTTAGCCCAACCCACCTAGTAACATAGCTGCATGGGTTTATTTAGGCCATGCAATGTAATCTTTCCTTTAGTGCAGAAATATAAATGAAAATAGCTCTACCTAGCTTCTATTTGGATACCTCCAGCCTCTTCTGCTGTGGAATCCTACAGCTTTAAATTTGCTAAAGTTTGCTTTTTTAAAAATCCAAGATATGTGTTCAATTACTCTCAGGTTTATTTTCTCTTAAAATGAAGAATTCCAGTATTACAATATCACGTTCTCCTCAAATTTCTGCTACTTCCATTGCCTGATTGTTTGTTATTGGTTCCTATCAGCTCTAGAATAACTGATCTATTAGTGGCTTATTTCACTTTGCCAGCTACAAAAATTAAAAATTATGAGAAGTCTAGAAAAATCATAATCCTGACAATTAAAATCTCTGATCAATCCTGTTGTGTCCTGAGCCTGCTTAGAGCAGAAAGCAAGCTCAGAAGTGTTGCAAACGGTCCTGGGTAAACCAAAAGCTGCTTGGGACCAGACAGGGTGGTGCCAGCATTGTGCGCATGCGCAAGGCGTGAAAATGGTCAGTTCCTATTGGTTCACACTGTCTGGGTCTCAGGCCCTATAAAAGGCCTGCGTGCCTTTTGCTGTTTGCTTGGTTGTAGGAGAAGAGTAATAAAGAGCTTGTTGTTTCACTATGTGTCTTCGTCAATTGCCAACCAACAGAAAACACAACAACTCCTACATCATAGGATGTGAGGAAAAAAGGTAGAAAAGCAAATATGGCATAGGCTAGTCTTGAAAATCAGGATATAAAATTAATGGTCAAAAAAATTGACTATTTTCCCCCTTAGATCTCTGTTTGTGTGATTGTATCCCAATGCAAGTTAATATCATCTGCATCTGTTCCTAACCATTATGACACTAGTATTAAGAAATGTGCATCTTTGGCCTTCTGAATTTGTACCATGATGTGAGGATGCCATTTTTATTGAAACATTATGACACTTGTTCCCCCTTTGCTCCTCCCCACAGCCAGTATGCTTCATACATTGAATGAAGTGGGCTATAATTTATAAAAGCCTATGGTAATAAAAGTATTGGTTTGTAAAATACCATGAGTCCTTTTTTATATGTACAGTATTTGATGAACAACATAGTTACACCTTGGCAATTTATCAATCCTGTTAGATAAGAAGTCAAACAAAGACATGTAGAACTGAATACCATAATGTAACATCAGCATAGTGATGACAGCATCAATCATTCCGCCTGGTAAATTCCCTTATTCTAGTAGCCTTGCATATATTTTTGAAAAAATGGATGACAAAAAGAATCATCCCCTCAAGAAATACTGTGCACGTAAAGATTTAATGAATAGTCAATTATAACTATTTGGCCTTATTAACTTGGAAAGATTAACTAGAAAAAGCAAAACAGATCAAATTCTATTAGGTCTGGAATGTGGTTCAAGCCTTACCTACTGAAATACCTAGCCGTATAGCAATTAATCATTGCTGTTTGTTGCTGATAGTTATCAAGTTCAAGAATTATTTGAGGCCTGTAATATCTGCTGTGATATTGTGACTATAGGCTTTTGGCAAACAATAGAGAAAATTGGAAGTAGAGCTTAACAATTTTTTTTTCTTAAATAAAGTTTTCCTGTGCATTTGTTCTAATTTTCCTTAAGTGGAACTAGACACATCAAGTGTTTTGCTAAGTCTTTATTACCGTAAAGATGAGAAGCTTGCTTTCACGTAGTGTCAGTACCTTTTAAACAGCATAAATAATTACAAGCATTTGAGTTTCAAGAACTCTTCATCAATGGAATTGGTAAAGGAGAAGGAAACAAAAAAATGTAGCTTATTTTAAAATAATCTTTGTACTAAAATACATTATTGGGTGGAGTAAAGAGAATAGTGTTAAGTTGTGCTAAAGGCTTTCCTAACCCTTGTTAAGCAAAGAAATATACATCCTCAGTGCTGAGAAATAAACAATCTAGCTGCTAAAATGAAATGCGACTCTGTCCTCTGAGCAAGAAAATTATTTCTAAAAA